CCCCAAAACCCCAAAACCCCAAAACCCCAAAACCCCAAAACCCCAAAACCCCTTACTTAGATCATAATATTGAATATATTTCACCTTAAAAATGTTGCTTTGGAAAACCTGATTCAAGCTCGGCCAGAAAAGTAGACTCAATACAGGTGTGTTCTACCCTATGATGTATACTAATATGAAGTTCTCATCCATATCTACCAAGAAGGAAAACTTTTCTGCAGATATTTTTAAGCACAGGAGTTTAGAAGACCTGAAGAATTTTTATCGAGAAAATATTGGAACCATTCGAACGATAGAGGCAATTCAGTTCTTGGATCATGCAAACACGTTGGGGCTGATCTCTAGTCAAGAGAATCATCAGGCTAATCTGAAATACAAAGAGTACATCTCTTCATATGCTATCAAGAATATTGTGTTTAGCCTTTCTTCTTGCAACCCTTTTGATATAATGGTTTTCTTGGAAACCATTGTGCTTTGCAAAGATGATATTTATAAGAAAGACCTATTTAATATCCTCAGGACTCATAAGCTCAGAAATATCCAAAATTTAGTGTATGAGCATTTGATTTACGCGGAACAAGAGAAATTACAGAAGAGTATTAACCAGTTGGACAAGGACCAAACCATTAATATACTCTTTTTCTTAGCCAGATATGCTATTATTGACTCTGAATTATACCTGCATGGTCTCTTACTCTCCCATCTACACTCTAAGGTTGATATACTAGGCACTATGGATCTTATGAAGGTATTCAATATCTTCAAATCACTCAAAATGATCTACAGTCAAGTTCTAAATTCAGAGAAGAGAAAGGATGGAATTCCAGCAAAGGAAATATCTCTTCTTAAGTTTGAGAAGAAGATCAGAGACCTTGTGTTCTATTACTTCACTGTAAAGAACCCTGAACTTGACAAAGAATCAGCTATTTATTTCCTCAACTCTGGCTATCTTGGTGTCTCAGGATCGCTTATACCCAAGAATATAAGAAGTAAGATCTTGAAGAGCCTTGATTTTGATGAAATAAGTGTCAAGGACCTCATACAGTACCGAGTGATCCTCTCCGATGATATGGAAATGGAAGAATATACGAAGAAGTTAATGGACAGGATCCTTACTAAAGACAAGAGAGCTATCATTGAGCTTGATTTTAAGCAACTAGCAACTTTAATCAGGATGGTGTGTAAATATTACCCTGAAAGAGTCCAGATCTTGTACAATTATTGCTCTAATGTGATGGATAGAAAAGTATATGATTTAACCTTGAATCTTGATAGTCTTTGTGATATTATCCACTCTTTCACATTAGCAAAGCAAATAAAGACTTTCTCTGATCCAATCCTGACCTCTGCTATTCCAATCATCAATATCGTAGGACTTGAGTCTTTAAGCTCTGGCAAGAGATTGGAAATCCTATGGGCTTTGGTAAGAATCGCTCAGGAAAACATCAATGATCAAAAGAGTCTCTCAAGTATCAGAAGTATCTTACCACATCTCGAGAAAATTCTAGAAATGTCTTTCAAGGAAAGACTCAAGATCTACCACTTCTCTTACATTGTTGACATCAACAAGTTCTATAAGACAGTTCATGGGAAGGATCTGTTCGACAAGTATGTTCTGGCTCGTTGCAAGAAGGTCCAAAATACTTTGTTCAGAAAATCGCAGAAGATTTAAATATCTATTAATTAAGGTCAAGCCAGGCTTAGCCTCTTGGGGTTTTGGGGTTTTGGGGTTTTGGGGTTTTGGGG